AGATCATGTATGGGACTGTTTTACTCTGTCAGTTTTACTTCCGGTCTCCGCATTCAGCTGAAACTAATTCGTGTACGCTTTAAAAGTAAAAAAAGCTTGCGCAAATTACATCTGAATTTCCCAAAACGTCTTAACAAACTTATGAAGTCTTAAAAAGTCTTCTCCGGTTGGTGACAGTAATCTAACGTGAACGATCTTTTGATCACAAAATTAACTTGTGAATCTCATTTATGAAGTTGCAAGTTGAAAGGAACGACCGGATGCATCACAAAACCCCCGAAAGTTTTTCTGTTCATTAAAATGATCCTATGAAAGGTTGTTGTCCTCGATTTTAATTTTCTTCAGACGTTTTTGAGCTAAAATGTCTCCTGCTGAGGTATTTTTCGGTAACTCAGTGAGGGGTCTGAACAAAGAAGTAAAAATTTGAAAATAATTTCCTTACATTGATAAGATATCACAGGTATAGAAACTGTTAGACGTTATGCTTTAACTCTCTCGATCTCGAAACTTCACATCCGTCATAACACGTTGCATTTTCTAAAGCTCAAAATTGAGCAAACAGCTATTTTTATTTCATCTTTAGACTCCGAAACTCGATGCTAATGTAAAAGCACCTGTTTTTCCTCGTTCCCCTTCATTTCGGGTGACTATGGTATAATTTCAAAGGGGAACGAAGGCGAACGACTTATGTTAAGCAATGATTGTTCACTCTTAGAGTAAAAGTTTATGAAGTGATTTTTGATCCGATCAGTAACAGAGAGAGTTCCAATCAAGGTTTAGAATTGACCAAAAAAAATTTGGTTTTCACTCGGACAAGCTTAACCCTTTAACTCCCTTCCTTACTGTCAATCATACAATTCATATAATGTTAGTTCAGAGAATTTAGTATTGGATCAACTAATTATACCCAATTAATATTTTTCTTTACCCTCATCACTTATCTGATTGATATTGTATTGGTATTGTAAGGAGATATTCTGTCTTGGGTACTCATTGAGGGTTACAGAAAGCAAAGCGAGCTACAATTTTTTTAGGCAAGGTAAAGCTTCTTTTAGCATTAGTAAAGTTGAAATAATGACTGACTGCTGGAGTATTTGTTAAAGAACACTTTAAGCGGGAACTGTGTTCCAAAATAAGCATCGATTTGAAGAGATACCAAGTAAAAGACTCTAATATAAAGATACTGACCATCGGTTACGAAATTAATTAGGTCATGACAAATTAAATTACCTGAGGTTTTGCTTGACAAGGCCAAAATCAATAGAGCTGGTAACAAACCGTTTATATACGCCATGAGACTTTTCAACACATAGCCCTCATGATTAATTCTTATTTCCTCCTCACATAAATCCAAACTGTTTCGAACCAAGAAAAACTTAGGAACTAAAGATAGTTAGAAAGCGAAAAGCTAATTTGCAATTTCCGGTGTTGTCACAACTCTCTGTTGTCTCGTAATTTGGTGAAAACTAATTAACCTACTTGGTGAAATTTTTGAAGATCTGTAGCTCGGAGACTCGATCTTTTTACAGCCAAACGGGTCAAACGGTCTTGCGGGTGGCAAAACATTGAAAGCAAGAGAAACATTCTATAATTTTTTAACAAGCAAAAGAGTTCATCAGCGCATTTCAGTTTCAGCGCATTAAGGAAAACAGTCCAAAAACTCTCACTGTCGGAAACTCGATAATAGCATAGGGCTTTTAATGTTTATTTTGTCACGAACTGCCAATCTTTGAAGGCGTTTATTTTTATCTGAATGGCAAAGATCACGTTATTCCACGTGTCATTGTTAAATAGAGCACGTTTGTTATTTTTCTGTCAGCAATATCGTTTTAGCCAATCAGCTCATGTTTATTCAAGGTGTGCCATAGATTGGGGTTCGCTCGATTGCTGCCAGTGAGAGGTGGATTATTTTTGTAGGAGAAAAGAAAAAACTGTGATTAAAAAAAAACCTGAAAGTGAAGACTGAGGACGTTGTGGGCTTTCTTAACCTATTCCCCACACCAGTGGCACCTCCGACGGGACTATCAAGAATCTAAACCGTGACTAAAATGGAGGAAAAGCAAAAGGAACTCGAGACAGAATTGCAACTACTAGCACTTAATCGCTCCAAGACTGCTGCAATCGTGGACAAGGGCAACCTCGACAAAATCCTTCGTCACAAGGAAATTTTGAAGAAAATCGTGAATGCCATCGAAGATCTCAAGGTAGACATCGAAAAAGCCAAGCTTGAGGCTGGAGAAATCGTCGAGAATGTGCAGAAATGGTCAGCAACAATAGAACAACGCACCGACGAAGCAGATTTGGAGATATCTGATTTAACTCGCAGTCTTGAAGAAGCTGCGACGAGAGCAGAGGACTACAAGCGTGAGAAGGAGAAAACTTTGCTCGATCGGCAACGAGAGGAAGAACTAGAGTTTGAAAAACTAAAACTTGAGCAAAAGGCGAAAATTCAACAAACAGAGCAAGCCGCCGCAAAGCCAGCCAGCAAAAGCAACGTGAAAATGCCAAAACTAATCATCACAAAATACGACGGCACCTATGAGAAGTGGCTCTCGTTTTGGAACAAGTTTGAAGCTGAAATTGATTCATCTGATCTGCCAGCGGTCACAAAATTCGCTCATCTGAAAGAATTGCCGGAACGTAATGTTTGCGAATCAATCGACGGTCTTCCCTTTACTTCTGAAGGCTACCAGCGCGCTAAGAATATTCTGACTTCAAATTACGGCAAGATAAGCGAGATTGTAAGGGCATACATCGACAACTTGAATGCCTTGCCAGTGATAACAGGATCACAGCCTAGCAAAATCCATAAATTTTGCCAGACTTTGAACTACAATGTTCAATCTCTTGAGACGCTGGGTAAACTTTCGTCTTGTTTTTCTATGGTGCGTGGTGTGCTTGATAAGCTGCCGGGAATCAAAGCCGAACTCGTGAGTGGAAAAGTAGGATGGCAAGACTGGGGATTCACGGAACTAATACGAGCTCTAGAAGAATGGAAGGCAATTCATCCACTGGAATTAGCTGAGAAAGCCAGCGGAAAACCTCAGGCCCAGCCGCCGCCTCGTCCGCCTCGCCACAGAAGTTTCTACGCGCAAGAACGCGAACCAGCCCGCGCGCGACACGCGTGTGTTTATTGTGATTGCGTGACGCACAGATCTTGGGAGTGTGATAAAATCACGTCGCCTGCCGAGCGCCGTCAAATTTTGCAGAATAAACGGTTGTGTTTTAACTGCACTGGGCCCAAACACAGCGCAAACAACTGCTCTAGTAGAGCTTCCTGTGTACACTGCAAGCAAAAGCACCACTCGTCTATCTGTGACAGACAAGTAAGAGCAAGTCAGCCTAAAAATAATGCTGGAGTCGCATTGACAGCAACACAAGACGGGGAGAAGGTTTGCCATCCTATAGTTCTTGTCAAAGTAAATGGCGTAACCTGTAGAGCACTACTGGATACCGGCGCGACCGTTTCTTACGCCTCTGGATACCTCTTAGATAGGCTGAAGCTGAGACCAACACGCACGCACACACGCCGTATTCAAACCATCGTGGGAGTGGTTACAAAACGAAGCGAGATCTTCAACGTCCAAGCGAGCGACACGGATGAAAAGTATGCCATTCCACTAGGCGTGACGAGAATTGACCGTGCCGAATTGCTGTCTGTTGAAAACCCAAATTATGCGGTAATGATAAGCAAGTACCCACATCTGAAGGGAGTGTACATGGAGGACACAGACTTGAAGAAGATGCTTCCTGTCCATGTTATTCTTGGAGCGAGTGACTATGCGCGAATAAAGACCCGCGAATCCCAGCGAACTGGAGCTATGGGTGAACCAGTGGCAGAATATACTCGCTTTGGGTGGACCATCATGTCACCCGGGACGGAGACAGACCTAGACAGCATGTTCCTAGCGCAAACGGCCCCAAACGATTATGAAGAGCTGTATAGAATGAACGTCCTTGGACTTGAAGACGCACCTAGTGGTGACCAAAGCGTTGTCTACGCAGAGTTTCGTGAACAGCTTAGAGGCAGTTCTGATGGGTGGTACGAAGCACGCCTTCCTTGGAAAGGAGACCACCCTCCCCTACCTCCGAATGAATCTGGGAGCTTGAAACGCCTGGGAAGTCTAGTACAACGTCTAAAGAAAACAGGTCGTCTGAACGAATACGATGCGATAATCCAGGACCAACTGCGCGAAGGAATTGTGGAAGAGGCAGACATGCCAGCCAGTGGGAAAGAATTTTACATACCCCACAAAGCTGTGGTGAGGGAGAATGTAGAGTCGACCAAGATGCGGGTAGTCTACGGTGCCTCAGCCAAAGCCCATAGCTCCGCGCCCTCACTAAATGACTGCTTGGAGGTTGGACCGCCGCTCCAAAATAAACTTTGGAAGGTTCTAGTGCGGGGAAGATTCCATCCTGTGGCTCTCGCTGGTGATATCCGCAAGCCTTTCTCCAAGTGAGAATTCATGTACAAGACCGAGATGCTCTTCGGTTCCATTGGTTAGAAGCTAAAGATCCACAGCGAATTCGGACTTACAGATTCACTAGAGCACTCTTTGGCTTGGGACCCTCGCCTTTCCTGCTAGGAGGTGTGATCCAACAGCATCTGAACACTTGCCGAGATGAACATCCCAAGTGCGTGGAAGAGATTGAGCGTGAGCTATATGTGGATGACATATTATCTGGTGGACCTACTACCAAAGAAGTGAAACAGAAGAAAGCCACAACAACTGAGATATTTGCCCAAGCTACTTTCCATTTGCACAAGTGGCACTCGAACGTGAAAGAGCTGGAACTGGATGACGTACCCGAAGACAATGCGAAAGAACTGGAGCCGGTTACAGTGAATGAGCACGAAGACGACTTAAGCTACGCGAAGCAACAGCTGGGCGTTCAATCTAGACAGTGTGGACTCCTGGGATTGAAGTGGAACAAGTTATCTGACGAAATTGGGGTCCCTTTTCCCGCGAACGTTGCTCAACCGACGAAAAGAGGGATCCTGGGAAAGGTGGCTAAGATCTATGACCCCTTAGGATTAGCCGCACCTACCACTCTACAAGGAAAGCTGCTATATCGTGAGGCTTGTGAAGAGAAATGCGCATGGGACGCGCCGCTATCTGCAGAGCTAGTTCAGCAGTGGAAGAAGTGGGAGAGCTGTTCACCTCAGCAAATTAACTGCCCAAGAGCACTGACGAGTGCTCAACAGCCTATCGAGAACATCGAGCTTCATGCCTTTGGAGACGCTAGCGGAAAGGGCGTCGCGGCTGCCGTGTACGCCGTCGTCAAACAGCCGACTTCAGTAAACCAGGGCCTCGTCACAGCAAAGGCAAGACTGGCGAAGCAAGGGTTGACAATACCTCACCGCGAACTAGTCTCGGGTCACATGGCCGTGAATCTTCTAAGCAACGTACAAGATGCGCTACAAGGGTTTCCTGTATCCTCCCTACACTGTTGGCTCGATAGCAGCGTCGCACTACACTGGATACGCGGGAATGGAGACTTCAAGCAATTCGTGGCAAATTGTGTCCGAAAGATTAGAGAGCATGGTGACATTACGTGGAGACACGTACCAACTAAGGATAATCCTGCCGACCTTGCTAGCCGCGGTGGACCGGTCACAGAAGAGAAACAACTGTGGTGGAAGGGACCAGCATGGCTCAGTGATCCTAGAGCATGGCCCCCTGACCTTGTTACCGTACCCACCGCAGAATCCAACGCAGAAGCCAAAGTGATAAAGGAAGTCTTAGCCACAGCCCTATCATCAGAAGACGAGTTCAGTGTGCTGATGGAGCAACACAGTCTGTTAAAGGCCTTGCGCGTGTGCGCATGGGTGTCCAGGTTCCTAACTTATTCCAGAAACCCGAAGCCAAGAAGAGTGAAAGGACCGCTGACCACCGATGAAATGAAGTACCAGGAAACCTGGTGGACCAGACGAGCTCAAGAGGAAGGCAGAAGTTCGAAGAATTTCGAGGCAGACAAGTTACAGCTTAACTTGCAACCAGATAACAACGGAATACTGGAGTGTAGAGGACGAATCGTCGGTGCATACCCTATCAACCTTCCTTATGGTAACGCATTCACACACAAGCTTGTTCAACGAGCGCATCTAGCGACCCTTCATGGGGGAGTTACACTCACAATGACCAAAGTTCGGGAGACTCACTGGATCCCTCGCCAGAGAAAACTTACCAAGAAGGTCATTAAAAGCTGTTGGGGTTGCAAGAGATTTCGAGCTCAAGCCTGCCAGTCCCCACCGCCAGGCAATCTACCAACGACCAGAACCCAAGGAGTGACACCCTACGAAACCATCGGTTTCAAAGATGGAAGGTAAAGCCTATCTAGCCTTGTACGCCTGCGGTCTTACCAGAGGGGTGTACCTCGAACTACTTCCGAGCTTAGAAACAAGCAAGTTCCTCGCAAGTCTGAAAGGGTTTATAGCCAGACGTGGACGCCCTTGCGTAATCTACTCAGATAACGGAAGCACGTTTAAAGCAGCAGCGGATTGGCTGAGGAAAGCCATGAAAGATGAGGAGTTTCACACCTACCTTTCAAAGCTGGACATAGCTTGGAGATTCAACCTTAGCCGAGCTCCCTGGTGGGGTGGCCAGTTTGAGAGGCTGATAGGCGTGTTCAAGTCTGCCTTCCGGAAAGCAGCGGGGAACGGAACCTTATCCTGGGGCGAATTATCGGACGTTGTGCTTGACGTTGAAATTGCCATGAATGGACGTCCCCTGAGTTATTTGGAAGAGGACGTCGAATTGCCAGTACTCACTCCAAGCTCCATGCTGCACCTTCGGCCGAGCCAACTCCCAGAGCTAAATGCCTACCATATCGAGGAACCAGATCTAAGGAAAAGAGCCAAGTATCTCTATCGGTGCAAAGAAGCGATGTGGTCCAGGTGGACAAGAGAAAACGTGAGAAGCCTACGTGAGCGGCACAGCAGGAGCGGAGGGAAACAGACCTCCCACCCCTCAGTGGGGGAAGTGGTGATAATTCAGGACGAGTCTCGGAACCGTAACTCATGGAAGCTAGGGATCGTGGAAAGGCTGATCGTGGGACGTGACGGAATCGTACGTGGAGCTAAGTTACGAGCTGGGAAAGGAGTCTTGGAACGAGCAGTGCAGCAGCTGTACCCTCTCGAGCTGTCCTGCGACAGAACAGATGCAAGGTTGAATCCTGAGGCCGAACCCTATCGGCCAAGGCGGGATGCGGCAGTCGCAGCAAGACTCCGTATTGCGGATGCTGCTGAGGAAGCAGATCCGTGAGAACTGTGAAATCAGAACTTCCTCAGGACGAACAATCAAAAAAAAAACTTTCAGAACATTAAGGACGTGTCCATTAACCTTTTTGTTATGATTTCAAGTGATTAAGCCCAGTGACATTCAAAGAACGCTGAACTGTGATTCAACGTGAACACTGTGGACAATGGAATCATTGAACTATGTGATTTGTTCTTTCAGGCTTTTCTTCGTTTTCAAATTGTTTAGCGTACTTAGTTTGAAGCAGTTTCCTTTGTTTACATGTACTTCCTTGTCGAAAGCACATGGGGGAGTGTGTCGGAAACTCGATAATAGCATAGGGCTTTTAATGTTTATTTTGTCACGAACTGCCAATCTTTGAAGGCGTTTATTTTTATCTGAATGGCAAAGATCACGTTATTCCACGTGTTATTGTGAAATAGAGTACGTTTGTTATTTTTCTGTCAGCAATATCGTTTTAGCCAATCAGCTCATGTTTATTCAGGGTGTGCCATAGATTAGGGTTCGCTCGATTGATGCCAGTGAGAGGTGGGTTATTCTTGTAGGAGAAAAGAAAAAACTGTGATTAAAAAAAAAGACTGAGGACGTTGTGGGCCTTCTTAACCTATTCCCCACACCAGGTCCAAGTATTCAGACTCAAAACTTGCATATTTCAGTGAACGGAGCCTCTGTGGCGCCATTCATTTAGCCACCTTCATAATTATTCGCAGCCGGAACTTACGCTCCAAAAGAATTGAACTTGTTCCCATGAAAACTGAAAAAAAAAATTCAGTCCAAGTGGATAATCGCTTTCTACAGTAGATTTATTACCAGAACAATTTAAAGGAATTAGGCAAAACCAATCGATGAGAGCAAAAGAAAGTACGGAAATTATTTGTTGAAAAATAGGTGGATATCTCTTATAGTCTGATTTTGTGAATGCTGTGCAGCCAAGATATAAGTTCATTAGATTGATCTTTTAAATCAGGCGTCAACTTCAAAGGATCACCGTTATCCAAATGGTCTCTAAATTGTGAGAGATTATTCAGCATTAATTGATTTCCGGTTGATTTTTTGCGATAAGTGACAGATGATGAGAGAGACCAGAGCGTGAGACTTTAACGGTGTGAGAGGGAGGGAGATCAGGTTGATTTTATAAAATAAAACGTGAAGCTTAAGAACATAGCAGGCTCTTAAGTTCCATTTCCGACATCAATTCCTTAACTAGTGCCCGGAGGGAATTTAGCCAAAACATTTGCTTCGATTGAACACAACAGAAAGGGAAATTTTTCACAAATTGTTTGTGTTATTCAAACTTTCTGTCCGTCATTTTGTAACCGTTACTCTTGAATAGCGATGAGAGACTGGTAACCTCAACAATGTAACTACATTCCAGGTCTCTGGACGTCTCGTTCCCAGTGGCAGAAAGTTTTGAATAGCATGGAGGAAGACAAAGCGGTGACACGAATCCAAATTTTCATAAAATCATCATTCGCCCTGCAAAAGTTTTGGAAGAGAACAATAGTTTGCAATAGTTTGATTCCCGCTTTCATTTTGTGATTGATCATAGACAGTGTAGCGCGTCCGAAGTGGATTCGGTAATTTCGTAATGCCCACACTACACTTTGCCACACATTTTATCCTTTTAATTGGCCGACACTCGCCACGTAACCTGCCTAGAACTAATGATCTCCTTATGCATAATGCGTCTGACTGTGTTTTGGTGCAGATTCTGTTCATGCGTTGTTCATGCACTAAAAATACAAAATGAATGCATTGTAACCGACAATTCTAAGTTATCTGTGATTGATCTTTTACGGATGTTACTAAATGGAAAAATGGGGAATGGTGAAGGGGGAAGGGTATATGGAAAATGGGAAATATCCAATTTTATTTTTCCATTTCCCATTCCACGTTTTTGTAAAATCCCATCTTTTACCAATTGAAAGACAAAGAAGTCCGTTAAATACTTTAGTAATGAACTTTAAATTATTCCAAACATGTTGTTTTATACGCTTATACACATCGTAATAACAGCTTTTCTTCTTCAATAATTTCCAACCGGTCAAGTCAGTCTAAAAAGGAGAGTTTTCTTTTAACTGCCAGTTAAGCTTTTTCAACGTAATCCTGTCACAAATGCCAAGTGATTCGGACGTAAACCATGCGTTATCGTGCAAAATCAGGTTTTACCCCTATCATTAGCCTCTTACAACTCTAAGTGTGACGCAAAACTTAATAGCATATTTTGTGCTCTTTAAAATCGTATTTTCTTCCATTGTGTTTGTCAATTCCTGCGTAGCATTGACAAAATGCAAAGCAGCTATTTTGAAATTAGCACCCCTGCTATAATCACCTCGAGAGAGATGATTGAAAGATATGACGCAATCTTCGACCAATCAGAGCGCGCAAATTTCTAATATCACCGAAGCAGTTCTACTAAATTCATATTACATTGAGAATAATTTGCGATCAAGGAACGGTATATTAACATCCTAAGTTTAGTTAAAGTTCTGTTCATCAGTAGCCAAGAGAGGTCTTTGCTCTTGGTCCTCGTACAGGGGATAGAAAGGTATCTTCCTGCAACACTTCAAACATTTCTCAATCAGAAGAAGAGCAAATCTCACAAGCTGAGACATAATGGCGAATGAGATCAAAATGGACATTAACGCTGGGACAAATGCCAAAGCACACACCTCAAACCACTCAAGGGCTTTCAGATACGCCCCACTCGACCCGTCAGTCGTGATACCAAATGATAATGTGGTTGCTTTGGCCAGATTGATGATAGCAATGAGAGATAAGGTTACAAGAGATAATGTTTCAGCATTATTCGCCATGGGATGTCGATAAGGATTCTTCAAAACATGATGGAGGGTTATCAGTAAGCATGCAGCAGACAGGAAGAGCATCCGTAACATGACATCTGTGATGAACGCCCCAAAAGCGAGGAGAACTAGTCTTCGACCAATCAACACGCTCTCCCAGTAAAGGGTTCCGTTGTCAATATCGGTCGGCGGACGAAAAGGACCATGGAGTATAATCAAAACATCTGTGTTGAGGACCTGCTGGCCATAAGACTCCCGGCCTCTCCTTTTCAGTTTTCCCTTGACAAGCCAGTATATAAGGAAAGGTAGTGGAATCATGCTAGCGCCAACAAACTCTCCTGCTGTAATGGAAGATCTGTACAGCTTGAAAGATCCCCAGTAAAGAACGATGATGAAGGGAACAAGGAAAATGGCAATATACGCAAGAAGCAGATATTGCCACCATTGCATGCATGGGACATTAGCATCGATGAATAACCACTTTCCAGATCTAATTGAGACGCAGTGCATTAGCTTAAGGGCTGTTTCTGCAAGCCTTTCGTATCCAAGCAACAACACTTCCATGACAACGGCCATATAACGGATAAGGGAGGGCTTTCCTTTTCCCATAATCATATAGACGACACGATGCACAACATAGATGGGTACAAGGTTGGCCATTGTCAAAAACACTGTACCAGAAAGAAAGAGCTCTTTTGTTACAGCGGTGAGTCCTGCAAATGGACAGCCAAGTCCTTTATTGATGGATTGAACCTGGAAGTTGTAGGCAGAAATGAAAAAATGAATTAAAGGAATTTTTCCAACAAGTTCTTCCATGGAACCTACTATCAAAGTCTCAGCTGCTTGATAAAAATAAAACGTTATTTTCAAGAAGCCACTCTCGGAATGCCTACCACCACCAATGACGTCCACTTCATCCGCCGGCTGATCTTCATCTGTTTTCTTGAACCAAACGATCTGTGTTCTCAAGGTGCGCAGTATCGGGGGCTTGGTCAACAGATAAAGAGCTAATATGATTGTTAAGAACATGGTCAAAACCCATACAGAATAGTCGTTGCATTTAGTAGACTTGCGACATTCAGTTGAGAAAAGAGTCTCAGTAAACCCTTCGGCACATTTTCCACAAAGAGTTCTGGCTCTGTTTCCTTTGCAGCTGTTGTAATTTGTTGAAGAGGTCGGTAAACAATAATTTTCTGGACAGGCGATAAATTTCAGCGTGGATTGATTACCAGGTGTTGCATAACCCCAGAAGTTTGGTTTCGCAGCAATGTTCCTTTCAATACAGATGGCTCCAAACGGACAAGGATGACACTCAGCGCTGGAGGCTACCAATAAGCCTTCGGAGACCCCCTTTTGAAGGCTGTAGTAGCCCGGATGGCAGGGCTTGCACGAATATTTCAAAACGGTAATATTTAATACACAAATGCGCCTGTTTTTCTCCGTGTATTGAAAATGCGTACCATTTTCCAGTAGAAGAGCCTCTCCTTTATTACATTCCATCCTGGACTTTTCATCCATGTGAACAAATCCCCCGCTGGAAATGTCAACAATCGGATAAGAGCTCCTGTTAAATTTTAGTGAGGTCATTGATGTGTTTTTAAATATCAAGGGACCTCCGCTTTCAGAGTAAAAGAAGACACCTTTATCAAATTGAGAGCCGTCTGAAATTGTCGCACTTTCCATTGTCTTCGAAAAAGAACAATGTTCGAATTCTACGCCGCCAGTTCCATATGCAGAATGAACGTGTCCACCTCTATGAATGCCAAAGTTGTTGACAAACACACATCTTCGGAATTTCGTGAAGCCATTGCTGATATGGACAGCCCCAACTTCAATTCCTAAGTTCCCTTCAAACTTTGTATTTTCAAAGAGCACATGATTACTATAGTTCCATGAAGAGTGTGTCTCTTTGGCGCTTTTGGATTTCACACATCCCAAACTGAGCGGTTTGTCTGGATTGAATAAAATAGAGATGGCGCCAGCAGTTGGTTCGTAAAATAAGCCAGTTTCACGATGATCCCATTCGGGTTTATAAGCACTGACACGACAATTACGAAACAAAGAGTGTTTAACTGTCACGTTTTTGAAGCCTTCGAATAAAAGAATAAAATAGGTGGCCGATCTGTGGTAGAATTCATTATTGTCAAGTTGGATCACTGCCTTTGAAGAATTAATACGTCGAAGTGGTGGGATGAAGAGGCT